CACTCTCTCTCTCTCTCTCTCTCTCTCTCTCTCTCTCTCTCTCTCTCTCTCTCTCTCTCGTGTCCGCGCACGCACGGTGGTATGCAGCCGAGCGCTGCGCCGGCGTGCGCCGGGTCTGCCCACCCTGCGATCCACAGGGGCCTCGGCTCGGCCGACCCGTCCTGTCCACTCTTCGGTGCAGCCCGCCGCAGAGAGGCAGCGGTCCGTCGGCCGGTAGAGTGGGAGGAGGAGGAGGAGACGACAACTACCGGAGCGATCCGAGCCGAGCTATGCCGACGCGCCTGCGTGCAACACGGTCGCGGTCAGGGCGGGCGTGGCGCGGCTGAGGCGGCCGAGCTGCACCAGGGCCGCCGTCTTCTTCAACTACACGCACACGAGGTGTTGCCTAACCGCCGCAGGCTCCGCAGGCCGTATAATATAATTTTCGAAGAGAGGGAGAGAGGATCACGGCAAGTCGGATTTGCTCCGCATCTTTCCAAACCACTTGGCGCGGAGCGTCACGGCGGGGCGTGGCGGGGCGTGGCGGGGCGTGGCGGGGCGTGGCGGGGCGTGGCGGGGCGTGGCGGTCGGTAGCTCAACGGCCTGACCCCGCCCGCCGCCGTCCCTAGGTCAGCGCCGGGCCCACGGGTCCAGTCCCATGCCACTTATTACTACTCGAGTGCCCCATCGCCACTGTAGCCGAATTTGGAAACGGCGGGGAGATGGGTCCGTCGGTAGTGTTGATGGGTGTAGTTTGCGTCTCTCTCTCTCTCTCTCTCTCTCTCTCTCTCTCTCTCTCGTCTCTAATGAAGAGACTAGTGCGTCGGTCCTTTCACGTTGCGATACTACACTGACCCTCTCCTTGTTGCCTTACGATTATTGGCCAGGCAAAAAAACACATCCCCAGCCTGTATTATTGCAGAGGTTTCGAAAACGCTACAAACAGCCAAGCCAAGAGCAATATTATTAGATCGCCTTCCAAAACCACCCTAACCGGCCTCTGCTTATCTGGTGATACTAAAGGAATGAATGATCCTATTATATTGGGACGTATCCCTGCGACAACGACGTGTAAAGGAGTAGCGCCGGCGCCGACCTAGACGGGAGTGGCAAACAAAACGAACGGACACAAAGTCGCGGCCGCTGTAACGACCTTGCTCGACCTTGGGCTGAGCACCCTTACTCAATGCGGGGGGCGTTCCAAGGGGCGTTCCCTGGCGGGGCGTGGCGGGGCGGGCGGAAGGCCGCGGCAGAGACACGCGCCCCGCCGCAGACGGGGACCATTTTCAATCCAAATTGCAAAGTCTTTTGTGCCGCTGAATACAATGCCAGATGATTCGGATTCATATTCGGACCTGCAGCCGTAAAGACCTACGCGCCCTTTTGCTCGGCGGCGGCGTGTTTGCGTACCGCGGTGGCGGCGGGCCTCGCGGCCGCTGCTCAAGGTGCGGGACTGTGATGGACGCATACCTTCGCCGCCGACCTCACCCGACCAAATAGGCCAGCGCGGCCCGACCGCCCAGACCCACCCATCCATCCGGTCGGCTCCGTATGCGATATATTTCGATATATATCGACTTTGGCCCGGCCCGGCCCGACCCGGAGAGGTTAGGTAAGGTTAGGGGGCGCTGCTGGGCCCGACGCCGCACCTCTGCCTGCGCCGCCCACACAATTACCGCTCTCTCTAGTAGGTCAGCAAAAAACAACAACGAGATCGAGAAACAAATCAACAACAACAACAACAACAACAACAACAACAACAACAACACAACTTAATAGAGCAACCAAGACTCTGCGCACCTCCTCATGAAATAATGAGTATAGATTTGAAATTTATCTTGATACGTTATTGTGTGTTTGCGAGTGATTGAGTGAGCGAACGAGTGAGTGAGTGAGTAAGTAAGCGAGTGAGTGAACGAGTGAGTGAACGAGTGAGTGAGTAAGCAGGTGAGTGTACGAGTGAGTGAGTGAGTGAGTGAGCGAGCGAGTGAGTGAGTGAGTGAGTGAGCGAGCGAGTGAGTGAGAGAGCGAGCAGCCTCCAAGCACCACATGAATGGAATGCAGTGGAATGCCATGTTGCGGTCGATTAACCGCGCGCGCGGAGGTGAGGCTGAATTTGGCGCCCGACGGCGGCGGCACGGCGGCCAGGCGGCCAGGCGCGCGTTGCTATTTCCCGCCACACAAAAGCACGCCTGCTCACCGCCTCGAATATGGTGAAGAGCCATTCCTTTGTCTTTTGAATTTCTGCAAGTCTTTTTATATATCCCCCCCCCTGCAGCACCACCTGTTGTGTGCCTCTACGCCGGGTGCCACGCTAATCCACTGCCGAGCCTGCAGTCCTGTCCACTATCGGCACTCTAAAGGCTATAAAACTATGCCTGGTGATTTCGCGTGGCGGGGGACCTCGTCTGCTTCGTATGATGGATGTGTCTCATTGCACAAATTCTCCTCTCTCGGATGGAGCCGCCGCGGCCGCCGCCGCCGCAGCTGGACGGCCGTCTGGCGAGGCGAGGCGGTGCGTGGTCTCTAAGGATGGCCACTTTCGATGAGAACCAGTAGTCGATGACCACCGGCCGCGGGCCCGCCCGCTGACCGTCCGGCCCGCACCTTATTGGCGATATGGCGTCGTCAAAGCGATAGGAGACTTCTAGGAGTTTGTAATTCTATTTTAAAAGGTAAAAGATAAAATAAAAGAGTAGTTGCGATACCTATAAATAACTGCTCTTTTGCTTGTGGCACTTTTTAAAAAAATAAAATTTGTGGGTGGGTTATAAATTGAGATTGAAAGCGTGTCACCCTGTTCCCATTTTTTCTGCCCCCACCATTCTTCTCTCTGCTATCCGCAGCTATTCGGCTGCTATCCACACCTGCAGCTGCCTGTCCCCATCGCTACCGCCCTGCCCATGATGCGTGTGGACCTGCTGCAGCCACAATCCGCCGCTCAGCAGCTACGGGCCGGGTGTCCGGGAGAATGAAGCATTCCGGTGAAGATGAAATGCAGAGGAATACAGGGAACAAGAAAACGGAAGTCACCATGTTAAAGCACGGTGATTTCCGTTTTCTTCTTCCCCACATTCTTCTGTATTTCAGCATTACCGTATAGTGCTTCATTATACGCGGCAGATTGAAGGGTTGCCTACGCACTGGCTTGTTTAAAAGGAAGACATTTTCGAGAAATTCTAAATCCAGGGACGTCAGAGCAGGGCCTGGAAACGCAATGGTCGAGTCGCGGCCGAGGCGCGATACCGCAACGGGGGAAGCTTATGTGAGAAAAGTATGCATCTACGGTGGAAAGCGAGAAGAGATTCGGAAAGCTGGTGAAATTTGACGTGTAGTAGGCTATATGCTCAGCCCGAAAGTAATGTTTGTCGTGGTCAAATCCACGAACAAAGTTCCGTCTGCTAGAGTAAGGTTATGTAGGGTCGAAAAACCATGTTTTTTAACAATTTTTTTCCGCGCACTCGTGACAGTATCATGTTTTATAATAGGCCTACTACACGGCAAATTTCATCAGCTTTCCGAATCTCTTCTTGATTTTTACCGGAGATGTATACTTTTTTCGCATAAGCTTCCCCCAAACACGCTGTTTTCGCTGGTATCGCGCCTCGGCCGGGACTCGACCATTGCGTTTCCAGGCCCTGGTCAGAGCATCTCTCTCTCTTGGCTGATCTGGAAGGACGACTCGGATCCACCGCGCCCCGTCCCCCGTACACCACGACCGATGAGGTCGACTGCTGGGGGGCGCTGACAGACAGAGACGGTCAGTGACTGGCGCTGGATGACTGTCGGGAGGACTGCTAACTGGAGACGCGCACCTACCGCACCCGGCCGTTTGCCACCTAATTTTCTCAAAAAAATAACGCCATACATCTGGGTCAGGGACGAGACGGCGGGACGGTCAATCAGGTGCTGCACCAATCTAGGCTTACGTCGTGTCTCTCGAGTTATGTTTTTGAATCGAATAGGCCACAGTGACACAGTCAAGTATCACAGTGTCAGGTGTCAAGTATCTAAAACTATGCGTAGCGCCCTGTTATTAAGGCCCCCTTTCGTTTCCGCACGTCTTTGGACCGCCCGGAGCCCGCCGCCGCCGCAGCCATGCAGTCCAGAGCCTTGTGCAAAATCGCCCTCGAGAGTCACGATTTTCGTTTTGAATCAATTAAAAGGCCTGTTTGCTCGAGCAGCGGTGGATCAGCCGGGAGGTTTTTGTCGTGATTCATCTCACCAACTCACCACTACCACCACCACCGTGATGGTTCGGATTGCGCCATGACCCTTGTCAGCGCGGCGG